ATCGTATTTCGATTCCATATACATTTTTAGAGTTCATTTGACCTCTTTTCAGAACTATGGAACAAATTTTCGACCAATTTGCAAACGTATTTTCGAAAATTTTTGAGCAAACCTGTTTCTACAACCGGGTTTTCGAGTTTTGGTTCCAACACATAAGTTACTTCAATTCCTAAGCATTGGTTCTTCCAAATTTAGGAAATATATAGCTCTTTTCGACTTGAACTTCAATGGAAGTTTTTCGAAGCAAGTTTTTTCTCTGCGTCTGTAGGTCTTACAAAACGTTTGCATTTTAATTTTTTTTGTTGACGAATTTTGGTTATCCGTTCATAACTATATCCCCTGCCTCAGCATTCACCAACTTACAATAACTCTCAACTTTAACGCGTAGCCTATAGATTAAATTCTCATTTCCCTTAAACTACTTACACAGGATGATGAAAAACTATCACCTTAACCTTAACACGAGAACGGCAAATTAGGGTGGCCAGTGACATTGAAATACAAATAAGACACAGCAGGAATTTTTTTTCTTTACGGAAATAGTAAATTTGTACAATTGTTCATACAAATCCACATATGTGAGACCTCTCCAACAATCACCTATAATAAGCACCACCACCACCACGCCTCAAGCAGCACGTAAATTATCCAACAATTTCAACTTCAACTTTCAACCACCGAGTGAGTTAGTTTCCCCTCGGGTAAGCCGAGACAGTTGACCGACGCATATCCGCATTGAAATTACTTTCCAACACACACTGCTGCTGGCAAATATCAACAAATTTATCTAAGCACAACAAGTGTGGTTGGGCTCAATGAAATTGCCGAGGAAAGTGTTAGACATCCAATGTACGCTTGTGTGCCGGCAAGTATTTCAACCCCTGACTTCGGTGTATGTTGCGTGGCATGTGTTGGTCATGCGACTGTAATTTTTGACATTTGCTGGACAGTATTGTATGTGTGCTTGTGTATACCAACATCCTATACCAACAGCCAACAAAATAGACACATGTATGAGCAAAACGCAGCATGCTTCGAATTTTTCTGTTCATCGCAACTCCGCTTACTAAACTCACCAACTAGTTCTGCCTTTAAACTGTTTGTATTTGTGCCATTGAGTTAAATGTTTTACATTGCACGAGCTCATTCTTTCAACCACTCATCCAACCCGTACAACCATCCATCCGAACTTCCAATTCATGCAAGCTATCTCTAGTATCTGACTATCTGCCACCAGGCATTCCCTGCCCACCATCAATGACCTCGTCGAGCTCCACTGTTTGAGCTTTAACTACTTGCTCCACACTCTACTCTTAGCGAGTCCACTCGAACATTCAACGAATTTTGCACCACTTCATGTGAGCACTGCTCTGCACTTAAGCAGAACGCAACAAAGAGTCCAAAGTGCCAGCGGCCGAAAATCGTTCAAAAATAGTATTGTAACTGTGTGCTACACAACACATTGCTGCAGCTCATATTAGTGGGTGCTACTATTGCCTGCCTGCCTTCTCCTGTATATGCGTGCTGGCCAAACAATCTACAGCTGGCGGCTGCAGTACAGCAGACAGCACTTTTATCTACAATAAATTAAAATCTGCTTAAATGCCCGGTTGAGTACCAACAACGGCCCGGTAATAGCTTAGGCAACAACGAGCTCCGTCTACTACCATCTGCTTTCCCAAGCCAACTCCAATGAGCTCCAGCCAGTTATTCAACGAGCTTCAGTCAGCTATCCAAACGACCGACCAGCCTGCCTTTGCCGTTTTGTTCTCGGCTCCTCGGTTGGTTTGATAGTTTAACGCCAGCGGGTGTTTTCGAGCAATCAAAGATTTCACTTGAATGTTCTTGCTATGTTTTTCTTGTTGTTGTTGCCAATGTTGCATGCATGTTACTTTCCTATTGTTGTACTCTCGATATTTGTGGTTAGTGCAGTTGTTATTGTTTGGTCGCTCTTGACGTTTTAATGTTGATGGCCTTCAGGTCGTTATGGCATCAGTGATGACTGGCATTCTGTTATGTATGTGCTCGGATGTAAAGAATTCTTTATAGGTGGCCAGAGGGGGTGTACAACAAACGCATATATTCGTGAGCGCACATATTGAATCAAAGAAAGAATATGCAAGAAGATCTACGTTCATAAAATTTCTTGATAGACATATAATTTAGATTGACGGAAGATGAGAAAACGCATACAGTATTCGTACGAAATTTCAAGCGATTTTGAATAAAAATGATCTTGGATCAGACTGGACCAGCTCACTAAAAAGAAGGCATCAATGAATTTTGTGTCTATTGTCATTATAACGGTGTGACCTTACATTCCTAGACGATTTCAGTGCTGCTTAACCTGTGGCTGCTCTGCTATTAGACCTTGCTCCTGGTTTCAATATGGCAAAGCCCAAAGAAGCTCTAAAGTAAAGTTTCTGCTCAATATTCTTAATTCGGGATTTTGTCATTTAGACGTAGACAGTCAGTAAGCTCCAGCCATCACGCTATACCATCAGATGGAAAAAGCATGGAAATCACATGTGTTCTAAATGTTTATCCATCACACATCTGTTCTCTCGAAATAAAGGACTTATGGACGGCACATTTTTCGACTGATTTTCGTTTCCATGATTGCTGTTTGTCATACTTATCTAGCTTCTAACGGCTGAAAATTGGCAACAGCGCAGCGTTACGCATTTTACTTCGCAAGTTCGCTGAATCATCTTCCTTTCATGCCATTCTACTTACTGTTGGTTTTGCTTTTTTGGTTAGCTTGCCACATGCAACGCACTCATTACGCCACATTCATTGTGCATTCTCATTCATTTTGGCATAATGCCGTCAATGGACACGTTTCTACATTTTTTAAATCCCCCGGGAAATGGCAGTGAAGCAGCAGAAGTGGCGGCAGTATATAACCGCTTGCCACAAAGGCACAGGCTCGCATTGTGCGGAACAATACCTTTGCGCGTAAGAGCTTAAGCGCGTTTGTGTCGACTAACACTGCCACCATTCGGCTGCTTAGAGAGGTTATTGTGCCGCTGAAACCCCATTTTGTTGCTGCTCTTCAGTTCTATCTTTTGCTTAGTCCAATTTTTTCTACCTTTTCTTAATTTTATTATTTTTTTTGCTGCGAAAAACATTGCTGCAGATGAACGTTGAATTGCGTATAAATTATGCGCCACAAAATTCGCACTTTAAGTTGCCGACCACTCGTTCGACTTTTGGTCTCTCAGGAGCACTAAGATAGCTTGCAATAAAAGCAAAATACAACAAATAATGTTAATGATAAGAAAACACAAAATACTTATACTCACTCCCAGAATCTGCTTCAGTATTAAATACATATTTCACTCAACATCTATCGGTTTAGCGCCTGCAGCTTTGCTATATACGAGTTCATACATATGTATATAACGAACATATTACTGCCACATCACGTGAACTGCGCTTTAACTTCGTTGAGCTCGTGTGGCAATTGCGTGCTTGAGCAGCTGCTTATAACCGCGTGGCCTATGGGCACATAACTGCTGCTATAATTTACTTCTGTCCGCCCTTCTTTCATCTTCTTGCCATGCTCAGCCATCTCACCGCCACTCCGCCTACTCTAGTTCTTTAGGGGCTCACGCGTTACCATCTTTAATATTTAACTATGCTTAATTTCACTCTAAATCACACTCCAGGGGAGTAGGTTTTACCAATGATTCCATTCCGCTTGTCTCTTTTTCTATAAGTCCACTTTGCCGCCCTGTTGCTAGTACCACCGGAGTCGCTTGATGCAACCAAGCTCTTTCGCTTGTTTGTGTACGTTACACTTTCAAGTCACTTCTCGTCGATGATTTTTGAATTTTTAATGAGCTCATCTTCTGGCAATCTTGCAATCCCTTTTCTCTTAAATTAACTCGCCTCCTTAGCGCAAGCAATTCGCTTGCATCCTGTGGTGTTGTTATCATTTTTTACTTGTTTGATATTAAATTTGTTTTATGGTAGATTAAAATAGTTGCAGTTAAATATATTTTAAAGATTTCTGCTATAAAATGGGATTGAATTGAGAACCTGTAACTGAAATGAGCTTCCCGCGGCGGACATGATCTGTGGTAGTTGATTTCAATGCGATTGATGTGATACTTCTCTTAACAACCATTTCTATTCCACTGAAAGTGGAAAGTGGTAAAGTGGACTCGATAAATAATCGACTCATTTGACGCTTAGCAATGGTATATCCTTAACATCCAATATTCGAAAGCATTTCAAAGTAAAATAAAATTTTATTACTGCAAAAGTGCAACAAATTGACGGCGATTATGCGAACGTGATGTAGGATATGAATGTAGTGCCACTGAACTTTCCGATGTCATTTGGGTCTACATGGTGGGTTGAAAAGGTAGGCGCAAGAGCAACAGGCCGCAGGCGGAGGTGCAGGCGCAACGTCTACTTATGCCGAACTTCTCCGTAATATAAGATCTACAGTCATATACCATATAAATAATACATAAATATTGTCTAATTTCTTGTTTTAACCATCACATAGAGATTCTGAATTTCCCACACTTTTCCGATTTCGCCCTAGAATTATCGGTTGATATTTTTGTAACGTCTTGTCCTATAACTCATTATTCTATTATGTTCGGATCCAGGAATACCGAACCTTTATCTGGCTGTTACAACAAACACTCAATAACCCTATCTGTCTCTATCGACGACGTCCGCGAGCACGTCAAAGGTTATCCATTTGTAATCTTCGCCTCAAAACTAATAATAGAACATATTAGATCTTGGAACAGCGGTGGACTCAGAAGGACAGATAGTCAATAAATGCCTCCTCTATGCCGAATATCAAATCATGTAACTCCTTCGCTCAAAACTTGGATTTAGATATGATCCCTTAAAACAGACAGTGTTTATTGTCCCATCCTTAGATTTCGTACTTGTTAATCCCTGAAAAACTTCAGTAAATCGAAATAAATATTCTAATATTGACTTCTAACTTAATTTTCTTCTATTTTTTACAGGAATTACGCGACTGTGGCGCCCCATGTCATGCCATGTTTTTCCCGGAAAAAGAACGCACTGTTCTACGCTACTGGGTTGGCTCGTGGGCGGCTGTCTGTGTGGCAAGTTGTCTTTTTACGGTAAGTGTAAAATCAACAATTATATTACCAGCACTTAGGCTGGGTATATGATGCAAACTAATTTAGTTATTAGTGCAAATTATGATTGATTTTGGCTGCATGGCTGAAAGATTCATAGTTTAGTGAGAAACCATAAATCATTGTGCAACTAGAACTCCCTTTTTGTTGGAATGGTCCTAGAGGTGAGAAGTATGTGCACTCGTAGGTATGTATTGTACAATATATACATAAATATCGGAGTACCGAGCTCCCTTTGCCAGCTGGCAGTGAACCGACAATATCGGTTTCGCAGAAGAAGCAGACAACGGAAGCAATAGGGCGCCAAGTAAACATGGCAAAAGAAATGCAAACGCTTAAGTGAGACAGGCGAGCGATGTCGGAAAGTTGTAAACACCGGCACTTGTACTCGTGTACAAAATAAAAAATAGCATCCTTAGTGTGATATATTACCTGTCAACGTATTGCTTTTTCAATAACTACAGCTAAAGGCAAATCTGCGCAGCAGCTGCAATCTGTACAAACGTCAACAGCATGCTAGCATTGAATTGCTTTGTAGATTGACAAAATGTGTGGAATAGAAACAGCAACAACTACTGGGTCTATTGATTTGTTAAATTTGAATAAATATTCAATTTTGTACGACTAAAGATATACATGTTTCGTTGCACCACTACATGTATTCATATCTCAAAGTAAAGACACAATATCTTACTTATTGTAGGACTTCAATTGCTGCGGAATAAAAAATATTTATCGCCTTGTGCTAACTTCGACTTTTTTTCAGTTTTCCAAGTTCTTTGTACAATACTTCTTCGATCATCGGGTTTCCATCATTTCCGAATACTAAATACTAGTATCTAAAAGTTACTCTACTAAGACTGCTTATCTTATAGTCTTTAAAGTAGCTCTTCACGGTTTGGTTGCTGCTAGTTAGAAGTACCAGTATGAAACTCAGACCTTGTGAGGTTTTGACATTAAAATCAACTTTCTTACCAGAAGTTTAGACATTGTCCTTTAATTTGGAATTAGCTTTACTCAGCGAATCTCAAAGCCAACGTACAACTTTTATACGATCAACGACTCACAGTAACTATTAAGTAACTGCTGGCCTGTCTATGACGCCTGAAGCTGCTGCTTGCTTTTAATATTAGAAGTAATCTATTTGGTAACGATATTTCTACTCTGTTGTTTTAAGCTACGTTTTCCGAAATCTCAGTCATACATGTTATTTCATTGTTTGTTCAAGTTGAGATCTCTAAAGTCAAAATCTAATTATATTTAACTAATTGTATCCTCTCTGCAGCATTTACAATGCTCAGGGCATTCCTCAGTCAGCTGATAACTGTATTACCGACCGAGCAGAGAGCGTCATAAACTATAATTTTTCTATAAATTGAGACTAAGACTGGTCTCAGTCCAATCGTAACTCGATATCGCATCGGTGTTTTAACAAATGCATACTCACGAATTAGTCTTTCGAGAAACATATTACAGCAACTTATCCAAATTCTATCGGATGTTTTTTTTTTATATATTGATTTCGTGAGGCTATGTTCAAACCGCCTATCGCTCAAAAATTTCTCTGGAGGAAGGCTGCCAAGTTGACTCGACTGTCGTAAGAAACTTGTTCCTGTTGTAAGAAGACTAAAAAAATCATGTTAAAACAAATTCCTAGCGCGCAAAAATATATCAAAAATTTCCTAAACACCAGTTTAGCAATCTCAAAAGCCAGCTGTAGCTTAACATATTGCATTATGTAATCATATGTAAGCCATGTGGGTATGTTGATTCGCTTCGTGTCTATCTATTTGTATTCACTGACAGCCAGTGCTTTTTCTATTTTTTTTTACATTATTTTGACAGATTTTTGTCGCTGGCGTTGAAATATGTTTTACTGTCAAATTTAGAGAAACAAAAGCAACACTGTGTGTGATATGAGCGGCTGTTTTTTGGGGTCCGTTGGTGGTAATATTTATATCATGTAACAAAATATATTTTTTTGTTCCATCAAGTATTTGTTTGGATACCATAGATAGATATTTGCGTATATAGTATGAATACACAATTGCATATATTTAAGAAAAATGAAAAATGAGAAAAAAATTAAAATATATATATATATATATATATATATATACATACCATAGTATAGGCTTACATAGTATTGTACTATGCTCGTATAAGTAGGTATATAGCAATTGCATACATAAATATTATGACAGGACAGTGCATAACATAATGAACTGTTAATAGTCTTAGAACTTAATACTGAACTATACCAAAATAAATGCCAGCAATACCATGCAAATTGAGGGAATAATGAATCAAATCTTTGAAACACTCGTTTTCTTTGAAATTTTGCGACACCCAATAAACAAAATCACATTTGTAAGAGACAACTTCCGAACGAATTACAAAACTTGTTATGCATTTTAATTGTATTCAAATTTTTATTCAACAAATAACTTATACGTGTAGTTTAACACATTTATCCCATTAATTATACTCAGTTATCAGTGTGAATAGAATAATAATACTTAAACTGTATATCATTACACAAATCCGGGATATATCTGTAGCTATACGTATATACTCGTATATCCACCTTACAACTTCCGCTACTATCAACTGACTGACACCTACTAATAACTGCCACAACAAATTAACACACCTTCCCAAACTAATAGCTACTATTTATGCTAAAAATTTAACACTCCCCAAATAATTATTCACGGAAATACCACCTACCCACATTCGAAAATCGTAGCGACGACGGCTTTCCGCTTGGAAAATCTTCAAACTGTTATTTACAGCATTTTAATGCGACTAAATTTCCACTGACAGCCAGCAAACAAAGCCAGACGTTTCGTCTATTTCTTTTGTACAGCAATTTTAAGGCGCGAGTTGACCGAAACAATGCCAACGAAGACAGATGAGCGTTGATAGACACACCTCAAAAACGATTTGTGTCGAGGTAATTTATAAAATTATAGCTTAGCAACGACTTTTCGCTGAATGAATTATATTAATATAAAAATGATTTGCATTTTTAGCCGTTTTGTGAGATTACTGGATTTTTCTTCTATTTTTATTGCTTTTACATTGCATTCTTCTGTGATTCTTCGTATTGTTTTTTTTTAATTTTCGTAAGATTTTTTTTTTAATTCTTCTCCCATCAGAGGTATGTAAATACTGTCTGGCTCTCATAACTTTTTAAAACGCTCATGTTTAAGGTGGACCAAGACACTTCGAAGATTTTTTACGTAGTTTCACGCCACTTTTACTCCACCGCAGCAATTTACTCTCTCCAATGATACATCTATGGTGGTCTGTTTGTTAAAATGGGTTAGGTAGTTACCTAATTTATGATTTTAAAAATTTTTCATTCGTTTTTGAGAAAATTGTTATAAAATATTTGTTAAACTAAGAACAGAGGTCTGTACTTCTGTTCATTTGAAATGAAAGCACTGCACCCGAGACTTAAATATAGAGATATACAAATTGTCTTACAACTATTTTCTAATGCCTGCTGGTGTATAGACAAAAGTGTTTCTTTCTACATGCAAAAGTTATACTAAACTCTTGAAATTTAAGTATCTGTGTAAATACATGCCTCCTCGTGTTCACATACAATAGGTTTTCGCCTTATGCCCCACCATTGTAGCACCGTCGATTTTCATGGCTCCCAAAGAGTTGTTAACAAAGAAATCAATTTGTTATTCTATACACGCCACAAGTTGTGGCATAACAGTTTGCTGCATTGTTTTGTCATTTCAATTTGTTGGCTTTAAACTTTTTTCCCGACGCTATACAGTGGGGAGCCGAAGAAAATAAATAAACATTTTTTAAGTAATTTTTGTGTGAAAATTGTTGATGTCTAGTTTTTGTGCTTGCTTTAAGAGTTTTTGGAAAATGTAAATTATGTGGCGGCCAAATTGTTAAACTCTATGTTTAATGCACTACTTGCCACAGGCGGTGGCAACTAGCTAGTCTGCAATTAAAGGGGCGAATACCGTAATATTACTGAAATCAAATTATTTTGTTCGAAATCCAAGTGCTTAATGGTAGACAGAACAGGTTTAATAGATTTATTTTTTACTAATGCCGGTAACGCCCGCGCATTGTTTAAGATATACCTATATGTATATATATATATATATATATTTATGAGAGCACGCATGTCCGCCGCCAAGCCGGCACATAAATTAAATTTAATTGTCATATCGGCTGTTAGAGTACAAATGTGTTGGCGTGTGGTAGGTAAACGGAGTGACGGGTAGAAATAGAACAGAAAAATAAGAAATTAACATACAAATGGCAAAAAGATAATAAAAAACTGTATAAGCGTTACATTTACCTTTTCGTATTTTATTTCTATTTATTTTCAACCTTTCATTGCTATTGAAGCATGAGGCGTGAATTTGTACACCATTTAGTCGTTTTGTGATAAGCCATCAAGCAGTTGTGTGGAGTAAAATGGCAGTTGTTTTACTAAGAATTTAGAAAAATAGTAAAAAGATCTAAACATTATTTAAGGAGTGCTGTTTTCAGTACCTTATCCGCAGCTTTCATTTTAATGCCTCTAAAATTCTCTTCTCCTGAAAATTTGGATCACTGTGTTTCAGAAGCTACTCGTGGTGGCTGTTTCTCTCTACGGACGGGGAAAAGTCGCTGCAGACAAGGCGCAATGAGCTTTTCCACGGACTGCTTAAAAAAAAATGTGTGACCGGCTCAAAGCGCTTTGATGATTTATGAGGGTCTTTATGATCAATTTGAGACGAGTTCTAGCTAGCATAATTGACCGGCGTTGTAAGCTGTGGAAGTTAGATACCCATTAGGATTGACCATTTAACTTAAGCTAACCCTCTGCTTCTAGTCCTTCTCAGTCAGCATTCGAAGTTTTCGTCTTTCAGGAAGCCACCATATATAAAAGAAGAATTCAACGAAGGAAAACGCCTGGTGAGCTATATTTTGGTGCTGATAAACATTTGTAACACTTCTTAGCAACGAAACGAACACACAGTAAAGCGGAACTATTATCATAAATACCACAGAAGATGCAGCAGTCATAAAAAAAAAATTTTCTAACCTAAATTTAGCATAGTTTAACTCAAACAATTCCAATTGTTTTTTTTTAGATATTATGCAATTTCCTTCAACACAACTGTACCCTTATATATTATACCATAACTTTCACATGAAAATTTGCATAAAGTGACGGTGAGTTATAGACTTTTAGACAAATGCAAAATTACAGCTGTCATAAGTGAATGGCTGTTGCATTGACAGCTGTCAATTTGCACGTGAAAATTGGCAATGACGCACGCGAAAAGCAAACTGAAAGGAAGAAAAATCACATAATTAGTGCGCTTCCGCCGTCACAAATATATCACAACATATCAATTGTCAAAAAAGCAAAATGTCAACTGTGACAACTTCACCAGCAAACTTACAACAATAAATATAACAGAAATTAATGCAAACAGAAAATACTCTAATGGCACTTCACCAAACGAAAAGTGGTGAGTGGTACGTATGGTTTGCTGCGACCATTCTACCCAAGACATCATTAATCCTTGTCGGCGGTTCTCCACACACATACATACGTAAATGTATGGTTGTATGTCTGAATAGCACTTGCAAAAGTCAAATGTGTTGTCAAACTAACAAATTGAAAAATGAACATAACAAGCTCGAAGTTACGCATACTAACGATGTCATTTTCTTCGAATTAATGTTATACGTATGGGTGTATATAATCTAAGTTTATGTATGTGTGTATATAATGTAAGTATGTGTGAGTGCGTGTCTTTTTGTGTGCAACAAACCAAGTAACAAGGGGCATAACTCACAAACAAAAGCTTTATTTGATGACTTCACTTCGTTAGTGGATGCTGTTGTTGTATTGTATAGTTGGTGTTGTTGCTGTTGTTGCTCATACGGTTGTTGTTGCTTTGTTTGATGAATAGTCACTCCTTCAACTTCAGCCTCAGCAATATTATACAAGTCATTCCACTTTCAACAGAAGAAACACGCTTGTAATGCTGAGCCAACTGACGCCTGAGTTTTGTGTTGTTTGACTTGGCTCATGATAAAGGTAGTTTTCCGGATAATTATATTTGATATTCGTACGACCACATATGCAGGCGATGGATGGGTTGGAGTTTGAGACATAAATCCTACGGCGATAAAGAACTCAAATCTGGCTTGTTCTCACAAAAAACCCTTACGTCGAATTTTTTTAAGGTTTCTTTTCGTAGAAGCTGTCTGAAATACAATTTGAGTACCCTCAATGCTAATATTCACTCTCGGGATTTCGATATCTATTTTTCTTAATATTTCTTTTGTTTTTTCTTGAAGCGAAATACCATGAAAGGAAGCATACATATATATACTTCCGTTACATGCTTGTTCCAACGGCATCTGCTTTTCTATCAATAGTCAGAAAGAGATTTTAAAATCCTGGTATAACAAGTCACACATTCGTTGGACTGAGTTATAGCAACTTAAAAGTTCTCCCCACATCCTGAGTTTAAAAAGGGAGTACTTAAATATGCCTTGATTTGGTGTGCTTAGCGTTAGCTCATAGATGCAAAATCCGTTTTGTGTACATACTAAATTTGAAGGATCTTTGGCAATCATCGATTAAGTAGCTATGCTTTGAGAAATCTCACTAAGGTAAGATCTCTATTTGCAATGGACAAACACTGAAAGTTTGTAATCACACACCACCTAAGCTGTGTTGCAAAATCCAGTACCGTAACAACTTACAAAGAGTCGGTTCTTGAGGCGTTCTAGAAAAGTTTAGGTCAAAAGAGATAAACTTAGTGCCACTTTACTGATATCCTTGAACAAATATATCATGTGACCAAACATATAATTCGCTTTATCCTTAACACTTGTCCTTAGCATTAGATTCCATAAATAATTTGTTAGAAAGAAAACCTTTAAAGCGTCTCACATACAAAAATGCAAACTTTGAGGTTAGTTTTGTAATTAAGAAACATCATCAACTGAAATGTTACACCATTGCCATGGCAAAGCATTTCAGCAACGAATTGCAGTAAAACCACAAGCGAATGGAGTCTTTACAGATAAAAAAATATCAACTTTACGACATTGGTGATGAGTTATCCTCAAAGCTATTGCTCTATGGGTGACTGCGCCGCCAACTCCGAGATAAGCGCTGTTGGCGACACAAAAGCGACAGCAAAAACAAATGCAAAGTTTGCAAACGTCAACGTCATAGGGTGCAACAACATCATTAACTACCGTTGATTATTATGTGGATAATGTTATCTTGTGGCATGAAATCCTGTACCAATCCTGTACAACAACCGGCAGTGAGCGAGGAACTATTTGAACCGCAAACACCGACATGCTTACATACATTATCCGCAACTTAAACTTCAGCAGCAACACCTCAACATACAAAGTGGCATGCAAGCATATAATTTCATACACTACACAGGGTTTAAGTGTGTGCGCGTTGCATGCAACAAATGTCAACTCCGTCACCAATCAGTGAAATGACTATGAATGACAACTCTGACTGCAGCGCTGATTGCTAACGCTTGCTGGCAGCAGCTCGTGTTGCAAGCAGCTAAGCTCACACCTAAACCACATACATACATTATCGAAAAATATATATGTGTGTCTTTCTATGCATTTTGTGCTTTTGTAAAGGCGCTACTCGTTGGTAAGGCTGGTGCGTTGTCCTCCGTTGAACCTGCCTGCTGAGTAATATCAGTACTATGAAAACGAGAGGCAGAAAAAATTACCAGCTGAAGCCTATGTCTATATGTATGCGTGAAATTCGACACTTAACGAGATTTCCTAATTGCAAACTTAATTAAAAAACTTGAAGAGGATGTTACCACGTTGATTGGGAGTGTATAATATTATATAATGATCTATGTTTCCGAAGACATTTCACGTTCATAATTTAGTGAATATTTAAAACTTAATGCCTGAACATATTCATATACAGCAAGACGAGTCAATAAATTAGAACCTATACTTGCCAAGGTTATTCTAAAAAAGTCGTTATCTTCAGCAACTTTGCCTCTCTTGTTGTTTATTTATATAAGAAATGTGATGTTCATGGTGTTGAGTTTAGTTTATTTGCTTCCGCATTAACTAAGGAGTTCTTACCTTGGACTAATCGCTCTAGCCTGCATTTTCAGAATTGAATAATTCTAACCCAATCTAGTAAATTCTCATTGAAATATATGTAAATTTATAGTTTAAGATCTGCGAAGCTAATTTATTTTAATTTTCAATAAAATTCAATCAAATTTATACATATTCGTATTCGTACTGTACTTTAGTCAAATCTCAATGAATTTAATCCGACTAATCAATTACTTATTATAACTAATGTATTCTAAGCAGTTTAATCTTATCTAGTCCATAAAATATTAACAGTTTTGTACGATAAATCTTGTTATCTTGTAATCTCTTCAGTAAAAATAAATATAACAACAATCGTGATTACTTATTACAATATTATTAAATATTTTACAAGTCTTGCGTGCCTACAACTCCACATCCAAGCCTTGATGCGCTACAAATGTAGCCGTTAGTCATTAAGTTGTCTAACTGCCAACAAGTATGAATTAGTTTATTAGAATTAGTACCCATGCTCACGTAGTTCATTTTAATTATATAATATAACAAAATATGCATGTAATTCTAATAATACAATTAATCTTTTGTTCTCACACTCTTTTTCTTTTTCTCCCACTTGATCGTATAGGTGCTGACCTTTCTCATTGACTCGTCGCGTTTTCGCTATCCGGAGCGTGCCATTGTTTTTCTCGCCGTTTGCTATCTCGTTGTGGGTTGCGCGTATGTGGCCGGTTTGGGTGCGGGCGATTCGGTGGCGTGTCGTGAACCATTCCCGCCACCGGTGCGTCTGGGGCGGTTGCAGATGATGTCGACAATAACGCAGGTGAGTAAGAAGAATAAAAAATGTTTTGTTTAACGTATGGAACAATTTTATTACTAAAATAATGTATATATTTTTTTATAATAAGAAATAAGTTTTATTGATATTTTTATTAAAAACAAAATATGAAATACTATTTATATTATTTTCAAACCTTATTCCAATTTACAATAAATTAAATTAAATGAGATAGTAGTAATAGTCAAAAAAAATATATAAAAATTTTTTTAACCCATCTTTATTTAAAACAAGTAAAACTTATTAAAAAAATATACAATAAAAATTTATGAAAATTACATTTAAAATATTTAAATAAACTTAGTTAACACATAAAAATATTTAAATGAAAATTTAAAAAATAACAAAAGAAACAAATTTAAAAAATATTAAAAAATTTAGTGAAAATATAAGTTATTAAAAAAGAAAAACATAAAAAAAGTGCAGAAACGGTTTAAACTCATATTTGATTTAATTTGGCTTAACTTTATAATTTAAATCTTATTTAAGAAAGCATACTGACAATATAAAAATTTTATAAATATTTAAAAAAATGTTAGAAATACAAACAAATAGTAAAATGAAAATTTAAAAGTAAACAAAACTAAAAAAAATTTAAAATTATTAAAATATAATAATTAATGAACAATAAAATAAAAAAAATAGTAAAGAAGTACAAAAACGATTTTGAACTCAAATTTAATTTCAAATTAAAAAAACGATACCTTAAAAAATTACTATACCTTATAAAAATTTTACAAAATAACAGTATAAAAAAAAATAAATGAATATACTTAAATATAAAAAAATAAAAAATAAAATATATTAAAAAATAAATTAAAAATTAAAATATAAAACAAAAAAATCCAAAAACTTTCCGTAATAATTTTCAATAATTTTAGTAAATAATTTTTAATTTGCTAAAAGTATCCTTATTAAAATATAATTATTGACAATACTAAAACATATTTTTATTAACATACAAACACAGTACATTCATTCATATTTCGATTACATTACAGTTATGTAATTAGTTTCACGCTTTGGCATTGCAACAAACTCGGAAACCATTAGCCAATCACTTAAATGATTAACATCTAAAATATTCCCACTCAAAATATTTACTATTAATAAGCATTTTTGCATAATATTTCATCACTTACCATAATTAAACCATTTTTATTATACCACAAATACACACAAACATACAATATAACTGTTCCGTTTTGTTTTTTTGCACCCGCAGGGTCATCGCCAAACCACCGCTTGTACGGTTTTATTTATGGCGCTGTACTTTTGTTGCATGGCCGCCTTTGCTTGGTGGTCGTGCTTGGCGTTCGCCTGGTTTTTAGCCGCCGGCCTCAAATGGGGTCACGAGGCGATCGAAAATAAATCGCATTTATTTCATTTGGTCGCTTGGGCCATACCGGCGTTGCAGACAATTTCGGTGCTGGCATTGGCCAAAGTTGAAGGTGAGTGCAACCAACAAATGCTATTTACTTATATAAACACAAATAATTTTATTGCGCTGGTTTTCGTGGGTGGTGGGGGTAATATGAGGGCAATTTTGTATGAAAGCTATGCGCATATTTACATAAAATAAAATCACAACAAAAGCATTGAAAAGCGTGCAATAATAAAAATCAACAACACTGGCGGCGTACAAAGCGAAATTAAATGGAAAACCGTTTTGTGTAAACAAAAAATTTATGGAAATAATTTGGCAAATGGCTTTATTTGTGTCGAAATTAAGTGTTGCGTAATTTTTGAAAATGATTTTATTGCGGTTTACTAGTTTTATTTAAGTGAGTAATGGTTTGCTCTTTTGTAAATGAAACTATTTAAATTTTCAAAGAATAGTTCCGTTCTTGGAGATGAATTGTGGTTGGTCCTCCAGTCTCTATGTGTATACCATCTGATCAAATTTGACCCGGACTGATCCAAATAAACTATTTTGAAGGCGATTTGTAGTAGAATACGTGAAATACCGATACCGATATTCTGCAGTACCGGTACCGGGTATTCTGCAGTACCGCTAGCGGTATGCAGTTAGGTATTAGAGCTACAATCAATACAATTTAACCTTAAGTCATTACGAAAATTTTATGAACTATGTGTAGCGCATTTTACTTTCAAATATTTAAAACAATTTGTCATTTCGCCGTGCGTGCTGAAATCCACAACGGCTCTCCTCCTCCGCATAATGTGGAATCTTAAATGTCGGCCAACAATCATGGCAACAATTGAGTTATTAAATATTGACATTTGTTGCCATCACCTCGTCGACTCAATTATCATAAAAAAGTCATCTTTTGACCGCCATTATACATAAGAAATGTGTTTGCACGAGCCCAGCTAGAAGTGGCTACATGTAGTATGTGTGGCTGTTGAAGAGTTGAACTCGCATGCTCAAATATAGATAAAAGACCTACTGAGGCAATGAGTTGAGTTACAACAACCACAAGAGAGCGTATGAAAACCATTTATAGCTTATTGACCAGCTTTACATGCGTTGGCCTTTAAGGCCAACCCAAAAACCAAAACCAAAGCCAGTCAGCTATCAGCGCGCTGGGTTGTAACAAATGGTAATGTTGATTATAATTATAGAAGCATTTTGGCGGCGACGATGGCGGCAATGATTATACGCTAGGCTTTTCTACGCTATGAAGAAAATATTTTATTTTTGCTGCTGTTTTTTATTTTATTTTATTTTTGCTGTTTCATTGTTCTTGTTCTAGCTTTAAATTTTTATAGCGTGTTGCCACATTGCTGCTGTAATTTAATACCTTCGGCTGTACGCCATGAAAATTTTATCTTTTTACGGTATTTTTTATTTTTCCTTCAAAGCAGCGTCGAGCGCGTTGTAATCTGAGTCTATTTTTATGTGATTTGAAATTTTTTTCTTCGCTGGTTAAGCCTTTCGTAAGCTGTGCTGGCTGAAGTTCTTTTTGTTGTTGTTTAGGCGCGTTGATTTTTTGCAAAGATTTTGTTATTGTTGTTGTAGTCTTTATTGTGGCTTTATTTTATTATTATTATTTTTTTTCTGCGCTCTGCGTTTTGTAGGCCAAAAGGCAAAAGTCATTAAATTACCGCAACGCGTTGTGGTGCCCCCCGCCACCACATTATAAATTATTTAATGTGGTTTAAATGAGCTTAATATGGTCTAAAGGCTAGCTAAAGGTTGAGCGTAAATGTGTATGTTACGCAAAGTGAGGAGCGCGAGTACGTTTAAAAACGAGGAGGTTGAGATAGAAAGCCTTTGAGCAAATTATGTGTTAAGCAGATTAATAATGTAGCTTTAATTAACAGTTCCTCTTTTAGAACCTAAAGATGGATTTTTAAATTTTTTATTCAACTTATAATATTCTAGAAGAAAAATTTCTAAGGGTAACTCATATTCTTATAATTATTTTCATATAAACCTATTGAGAATTCCACACACGATTAAACGAAATACATAAATTAGTGGTTCAGTCTACCAATCTCTATAGTTTGTATTAGATTTTAATCAATTATTTGAATTCAAATAATACGCTTATTTTCCCACGGTGTTAGCATCAACTCAACGTGCTCTATAGAGTCTCCTGCTACCACGAATTCCTGTCATCCAATTTTACATTATTAACACTATTTGGTTGAGATTTAGCTGTTTCTTAGCTTGATCATGAAGTTAAAAAAAAATATATATATTCTCAAGAAGTTAACGCAGAAATAGTGTAACCCACGATCTTATAGACCATTCCTAGTAATATCTGAACGATATATTCATAGCCTTAATTTCCTTTGTTGTTCTTGGAAGCGTTTGTTGTCCACATTTTTTACCTACTATTTTCACTGAGAATAATCGACTTTTATCGCTGCAGCGAACACGTAATCTATTAAAATATTTTGAAACTCATGGCCACAATTTTTGACCCATAAACTTTAGAGAAATTAAATGATAATTTAACGGTTTTACTTCCATGTTTTAATCCAAAAACCATTAAGTAGCCAAAGACCAAACATCTTGCTGGAATAGTTCGCACGACAATCGGGTCGACGAACCGGAACGGAGCCGGATTTTTATATTTTTATTTCGCCAAGATAAAGTGTCTCGTAGTTTTCAAATGCGAAAATGCTTACTACCTTCATACTTCGTATACACTCAAACTTTTTTTCTTTTCATACCATTTTATAGTATTTCGCCATCGGCTCTGGCTATTAATCAATTACATTTCCTCCTGCGAGCAAACGCCGACTATAATTTTCAGTAAAGGAAAATTTCAATTCCCCCAGCACCTAATGACAGGCAGCGATTAATGAACAACAATTTGCTAAACGCTTTAGGTGAAAATGTAAATAGCAAGAAAATGAAGAATGACGAGTAAGAAGTGATGGGTTTTCTGAAATTTAAGCTAAATATTATTGTTGAAAGCGTATTTAAGAATAGAAGAAAGATTGGAAATACATTAAGCAAGAGCCTCAGTTCTCAGACTGCTGCTACTAATAACCAAAAATCACAACTCCCCAGAGAATTCAGCATATTTAGCGAAGAACATATGCCACGGCACTCGAAAACCGATAGTGGATAACTAGTTTAGCTAAGTGCTCTTCAATTGACAGCGCGGTTCCAGTAAATCTCTTAAGTCGGCCGTTAATTGGCACTATCAGCCATAGCCGCGAGCGCCAAACTCCGCTGGCGACGCTGGCTATTTAGCGTTAATTTAATCTCATTTGTTCATGCTTCGGCAATTTTTCGTATTTTTTATTGTGAAATTATATATATGTATGTATATATAGTTATGTACTTAAACATCATTAATTTTCGAAATATTTTTGGTAGTAATTACGTTGACTCGCCAACGCACACTTCACACTTACGCATGCGAAAAGCGATCTAACAGCCGAAGCGCGTTTGTCGCGTCGCTGTCGGATCTTTCAAGCCCTCAAATACATATAGACAAGCTATGTTGAATGTTGAGTGTGAAGTCACTGTAAAACAAAAAATAAAATAAAATATTTAAAAAAGACAACCGTCAACATTAACTGCGTACTCTTCGTGAGTAAATAAACATTTAAGTACGCTGTGTACGTGCTAGGAATTTATAATTTTGACACGTTTCGTCTTTAGTTCGTCGTTTCTCAGTTTAGTTTAAATACAGTTGGACGTTTCTATGCATTTTTTGTTTACACACGACGTTTAATTGTTGACAGAATTTAAATGTAGACAAGCATGGTGTAAATTGCAGACAATGCGCGAAGGCACTGTCAAAGTGAGTCATCTTACAGTTGAAGTAGGAGTTGCACGTGATTTAAACTTTCTCCTTATGACGCTTATACAAGTTTTTGAAAACAATCTACATGTTTCGTTCTTCTTCATCTTGAAGGAAAACATAAATTTTGTACTATGTTGAGCCTTAGGATCTAACCATCCGCAGTCTCTATGATAAGTAACTTCAAAGGGTTTCCGATACTCCAAAGATTCCATTTGCTAAATAAACTTCTTAACGTTACGAATTTGCAACTAACACTGACGTATTAATGTGTGCACCAGCGCTAGAGACACAGAATATTTTAGGATAACCAGAGACCTTATACATATCCTCTAAGAGCCATCATCCAAATTTAGTTACTTGAATTATCATCATCATTTTCTGTATCTCCCACATAGGACATCTGCGATGCTTTTTTTTAGGTTTATGCTATAGAACTATATAGGAGCAGTAGAGTTTCTCGATACGGGGTTACCCTTGGAGATTTTCCAGTTTTGACTTTTTGATGCTTGATGAGAGAACTGAAATGACTCACCTTCAGATTTTCAGTACCTACTGAACCAATGAAATATATATGTATACAAATACAATACTTCTCAAAACATGAAAGAAATCAACGAAAAGTTTTTTATTATACAAATATAGTCTTGGGACTCGCTTAAACGGCAGAAAATATCCTATTCCAAAAAGTGTTTTCAGCATGAAAACATAGTTTATTTTTAGCTCATACTCAGTAATCTGGCAGTCAGCAGCTTCCTTACATTATCAAATTGCTTTAAAAGTCATTCCCAACCTGTAAAGTGTCGTTCCAGCTCACCGTATGTGATACCAGATTTCTAAATGTAGACAAACTCTCGTAAAAGTTTAAAATTGCCAGCGTTTATTAGTTGCCAAAAATAATATAACAACTTCCATACACTCACTCCTAACGGTACACACACACACTTCAGATTTGCGGCGTAAATCAACAGACGTCAGCTGTGAGTCGAACACTTCGCCATCACTTCGGCGCGCACGAAAAGCAACCCCTTAAAACTTTTGCTCGTCAACAGAGTATGTGCGCCATAAAACTTTTCCTCAGTTGGTTGTGTTTCACACTCCCACAGAGCTTCTAATTCTATTTACCTGCTCCACTTTGGCGAAATTTTCGCACAACAAATATCAGATTTCAGTTTTCACATTTCACATTTTCTTCAGCACACACACATGCAGGCGCATGCACGCGGAGTGAAAGTGAAATGCCTATTTTGCGAGAATTCACCCGATTTTCAAAATTTCGTACTAGTCGGCTTAAGATTTAATAACACATTTAGGCAAGTTGCAAGTGGATGTAGTAAGCAATGAGACTCGACATCAAAAGCTCTACATTTGTGCAAAGAAATACTAAATAAAGTTGTTCATAATGTGCCTGCTTTAATGTTGCGCTCAAAAACTTATATTTTCTGCACAATACTTTCGCCTCCCCCACAGCTTCTTCTCTACCCCTAACAGTTTCCTTTAGTGTTAGTGAATGTGCAAAAATTCTATTTCATTTCAAATTTAATTTTTGGTAATGCAGATGAAAAGTTTATGCTGCAGGGTTGCTCAAACACATACATAGCTCCCCTCATAATGCATAATTTGGCTTTATTGCCGTCTCAATGGGGTAGAACTGACTTTATGCTGTGTCGTCAAGTGGTCGCGTCGAGATTTTAATGGCTCTACTGATTTGGGAAAATGTTTGTTTTGTCGAGGGTTGCAAGTAAAAATTTGCGAATATAGCAGAGACCGAGCGAAAATAATAATCAAAGAAAATTTGGTTTGTAACCGCTTGCTTTGTCGAGTGCTAAAATGATGAATTTCCTGCCAATTTCAAGCTGCATTGAAACGAAAACATTATTTTAGTGATTACTAAACGGTACTCTTTTTGAATACTACTACAAGATCTGTGAGAGTCAAAAGAAGCGCAGACGGATGTCATTAAAATACATATAAAAATATGGTTGCTTTCCACAAGGTTTTGTAATTTTTACCCCATTTAGATAAATAATAAAAAAATTTGGATAAATTCGTTAGAAAAGCAACATCTGGCAAGCCTGTGAGCGAAATTTTTCCATAATCGCACCATCTTGCGGCGCTGTGATCTAAATTTTTTCATAAAAAAATACTTTGTGTGTTACAATAATGTTCCCTCAAATTTATTTATTTCTTGTACGGAATAGGGTTGCCAACTATGCAATTATTTAAAGGAAATTTTTTTCCGTTTAAAACATGAAGTATTGCACAATTTTTTAACGTCGAAACTTGTTGAAGGTGATTTTTTATGAACATATTTTTCGAATAGGGTTGCCACTTAATATTTTTTTCACAAAGCACGGCCTTGAATTTGACCTATTTTAGCATGATTTTAAAATTATTGTCGGAAAATTTAGAAAAAAAGTTAGTTGGTTTCATTATTTTTACTGCGAAATAGGGTTGCCAACTTTTAAGATTAATTTCTACAGCTAATCATGTGAAATGTTAAATATTTCAAAGTTGTAAAGTAATTCGTCAAAAAAATCGTTCTAAGATTTTACTAGTAGAGTAGTCAACTTAGAAAAACCGCAGTGTAGTCCTAATTTTTTGTAATTTTTAAATACTTTTTTCATCTCAAAACCAGCCAATTAACATAATTTTGAATACTATATAGGCTTTTATATTATTGCTACAATTTATGCTAATTGGCAACTATGCAAATTTTTAAGGCACAATTGTGCAGTTAAAATGTAAATATTGTGTACTTTTCTTAGCTATGTAAAGAATTTGTTGAAGAAAACGCATTTTTTCGCATAGGGTTGCCAACTTCGAAAACATTTGCATAAGATATTCTTGTCTTAAACTCCGTTTTACATGGTTATTATATTCATTAGTATTTTTTGCCAGTACAGCAAATCTACGCTGCTTTGCTGATACAAGACTGCTTAATCGCCTGAAAGTATGCTTCTAATTCGCAGTGTTTTTCTAAGTATTTCGTTAAAAATACCAAATTTTACATATTTTTTTAAGTAATTTTGCTAATTGAACGCATTTAAGACTTTTGAAACAAACACTTTTCATATAAAATTTTTTATAAATTAAAATTTCAAAATTTATGCCAAACTTTTTGTACGGAATTGCAAATTTATTCAGTGCAAAGTTTGTGTAGAGAACAGCTGAACTTTTAGTAGTGATTAACAGAAATATTAGCAGCAGTATCCAGCCTTGCATATGTCAAAGAAGAAGCAACTTTATGCAATATATACAATTAAATTCAACAAGCGTCTGAAAATACCAAGAAGAATTCACTAACTTCTAAGGCAAATGTCTGTATTCAAAAATTCGCAAGAACTGTAGGTACAGATACATACACACATATACCTTTCTTCCTTGCAAATACTATACGCAAGGCGTTGGGCACTAGGTAAATTACGTACATACTTATGTAGGCGCATTTTATCTGTTCGCCCAATCAGCCCAACGTGATTGACAAATTCTGCAGAATTCTTCCTCGTACCGCAGCTGTGTGGCGCATTTTAATATGCCACTTCTACTGCAAAAAAAAAAAATATATATATATTTAGTAAAGCAAAAAAAAAAAAAAGATATAAAAACAGAAAAAAGTAGAGAATGAAAACACGGAGAAAATATTGATGAAGCTGAAGCAGCAGCGACAGCAATTGAAGAATATTTCAGCTGACTGACTGTGGTTAAGGTGCGGACCGGAGCACGCTGAGCCGTGAGCATGACGAATTGTTAATTTGTAAATTTGCATACCATATTTCGACACGCACGCGTTAAACACGCACACACAAACACTGTGAGTGCAACAACAAAAATGTTATGGATATTAATAGCAAAAGTCAGCGATAGCTTTGATCAAATAATAAAAGAAAGAGCCTGACAAGTTAATAAAGGAAATAAAAATAATAAAAAATGAATGATATAAATGCAAGGAGGGATTGTGGACGTACGAATGGCGATAGAAACCGAAAAGTTATTAAGATTCTCAGTTGATCTGCCATGTGCTATATATTTTCGCTTTTATTTACTGAATTATTTTTAGTACAGATATAATATGCAGGTTGGTTTTAAGGATTTCTGAAAGCTTGTGTTCGCTTTGCGGTACTCAGATTAGTGATACAGCCAGTGTTCTAGATTTTTTGAAAGCTTTTATAAATACATATATTTCTCCATATTTCGGCACCCGACATTGTTCTGTTTAATGTAGTTCTAGTCTAAAAATTTCCAGAACGCTCCATTCGTTGTATACATCATAACATTCTGCAGCAGAAATCAGGGTATAAAATATTAACGATACGGATGTGGTTAGATTGAAAATCTGTGGACATCTAGCCTTAGTGATTTTTAGAAATAAAGTATATAGCCGAATAATGAGGCTCAGAACAAGATACTTGTATCGAAAGCCTTGTCTAGCGCTAAATTTGTCCTCAAGGATAAACTTAATATTGCGCAGGATTGCTGGAATTATGGGCCTTATAAAAAAGCCTTGCAATTACAAAGCAGTAGACAAATTTTTGCATAAAATTTTTAACAGTGGAATCTACTTATACAGAGAGAACACTAACAGATATTCTACCGAGGCAGACACTGATCAAATGATAATTCACAATATTTCTATCTTTCGTTTGAAAGCTGTCAGGTGATCACGAAATACCCGAACTAATGACGAAGTGGAATAAAATTACTCAAGATTCTTGCTTATGTGTTGGGTAAGCAAAAAGCTTAAGGCACTGCGAAATGTTGCATGTACTCTATTCGAACAACAGAGCTTTTTGTCGCCATAGAACGACGTTGAAAGCTCATGAAAAGCTCTGCATGCCTACGGGAAATACTCAGTTATGCTATGTCTGAGAACATCACACATCACATGCAACACACAATCCTCTTGCCATAAAATTTCATATAACAAATTTATTAGCATTAAATATTGCCGATTTCGGTATGCTTCGGCATGAGTGGATTTTCGTATATATATTTTTATACTTTTATTGTTTTAAATTCTTTATTCAATATTTTTTTGCGCTTCAGTAATCCAACTCATCCAACCTCTGGCATTTCACACATATTTATTATATTATTAGCGGTTTTATATTTTTACACATTTGGCACTGGCAGCACGACAAGAACATGTATGAAGTATAGCACAATGTTACAAACCTCTGAAGAGTCTTCAATTTGGATTTTATTAACGGCAATTTTTTTCTAATTAAATACACAATTAATTAGCCCACAACAGTGAGGCCAATGCGATTAAAGCGCTCATCTGCAACGATTATAAAAACAATTTGCAGCTTAAGAGTTTTATATTTCTAGTTTTTATACTTTTATTGGGTGTTTCTGCGGGCTTCGGAAATACGGTGCTAAAGAGTGAACAATAAAAATTATTCAAATGTGTAGACAAGCTAATTTTTTTATGGGTTTGGCAGTCATTCGAAAAACGTGTCTGAATATTTATTGAAAATGAAAAGAAATATGTGAGGGTAGTAATTCCAAAGCCATAAAAATCAATAGGTTTTATGAAATATAGTACATTTACATATTGGAAATATAAAAAATTTAAATCATAGGTTCGCTATATGTCTGTTCATGTTGACATATAGATAGTATAGCCCTCAAAGCGCTAGAGAAAATTCAAAGTTTGTAATGCTGAACTCTTTTAGGACAAGGGAAATCAGCGAAAGAAAGAAAGTAATGATGAATATGTTATTATGTTCGGTGGTGGTGTAACAAGCATAATATATTCCAGACAACCGAAGATTTGGAACGTGATGCGAGCCTCGTTGTCTTATTGCTGTTCTCTCTCTCAATATAAAACGTGGTATTTGAAATGTGCATTCTATCCGCATATTTGAGACCGAATCTGGCTAAACAGCCTTTGGGAAATCTCGAGGATTGGATTATCCAGGAACCGAATGAATTCAGCAATCGAGCTTCTGGAATTCGGTCCTGTCAATACGGCCGAGTCAAGGGTTGAGTTCATGCTTTTGTTTAGTAGGCTGGTGGCCAAAAATATTTCTTGGAAAATCTCGAGAAATCGATCATACAGATTCACTCGGACCGCATGAATGCAACATTCGAGCTTTCAGTATTCGGTGCTGTCAATACGGCGGAGTCGAGAGTTGAGTTCATGCCTTTATTTAGTTCACTGCAGGTCGAAAATATTGCTTTAAACCGTTTCACCGAACACGGTAGTTGAAAATGGAAAATAGTAAGCCAACGGAAACTTGTTTACCTAATTTTGCAGTTCCAGCTGTGCTGAGACGAACTTTAATCCAATTCTCCCATTTATATCATCTCTGCAACCGGCTCGTAACTGTTCATTGTGTTCTAACTAAAAACTCTGCTTATAAGAAACATATATTTTGTACCGCTTAGTAATGAGAAGTGCAGTAAATTTCACGTAACATCTCATAAGCTCGTGCCTGAGCTCTGCGTCCGTATCCACGTGCATAAAGAAAACAGTACACACCTGCAACAGCTGCTGGAATTACGCACCGCTTGCATGCTCTGCGGTTGACGTCGCAAAGACTGTTGAAGCCGGGAAGCAATGCTCGAAATAGACACGAAGTATAAGGAACTGAGTTAGAGCTTACAGATTGTTTGTCTGGCAGACAAGGAAGTCGCTGTGGAGTTGGACGAAACTAGCATGCAGCAGCGCGATGTGAGCTCAGCGTTACACATAACGCTAGCAAGTCGCCGCTATCCAAACGAAAAGAACCCAGACGCAACCGCAGACCGTCTGCAGCAAGGCTTTGGCACACTACTTAGTGCAGAGGCACATGCAAGGTTCTGGCATCGCTGCATTAAAGTTGCGGTTGTTATTAGTAAATTTGTTTGCGTTGTTTGTTGTTGTTACAAGGTACATATAACTGTTTTCGTTCGCCGACAACAGCCAGCCAGTCAGTTAGTCAGCCTTCGAAGCACTCAAGCAGTTATTGAACCACCAATGTGCTGGCCTCGCATATATGCAAGTGGTGCAACGTCTTCCACCATTTCACACCACCTCCCAACCTGCTGTAGGCTTCAGCTTAAGCTTTTGACTGTAGCATCTTCAGCCTTGGCGCTGTTGAATTCTTGCGCGTTGTGGCACGTCCTCACATGCCACAAATGCCTAAAGAGAGTACATTTTCTCGTTGCCAATGCAGGCCGATGCCAAAAGCGCGCGGAAGTCGGGCAAGTTGTAGGGTAGACAGCAGCACTCTACGAGACGAAACACAGTTATTATGCGTGCTTGTTGTTGTTACGTGCGTGCCACAGTGTGTGTGTATGTATACGCTGAGGAGCATCTTTAGATGTTGTCCATGCCGCACGCGTGCATCTGGAACGCCTGCTGTTGCAAGGCGTAACGTCAGCAATTGTGCGGAAAATGATGTTGTTGCTGTTGTTGTTGTTTTTGTTGTTATGCCTAGCTCATGTCAAGCGTTGGCAAGTTTGCGCTATTAAAAAAGTTTCCTCATTTCAAACACAAACTTGCCATTATTGCAGATATGCTTGCTGCATAGAAGTTGTTGCAGCATTTTGGCAAAGTGCTTTTTGTTGTTGTGATTTTCGAAATATTTGCTATGCTTTGTAGCAGTTAACTGGTATTTAAAGATTTTTTTTTTTCATTTTTAAAATTTTCTTAGATGGAAAATTAACATAATGTGGTTGCAGAAAAATAAACAGCAGCAATTTGTTGTTGCTTATGCAAGTTTTTTATGCGCAAAACAGTTTTTGTTGAATATATACATTTGTTGAAGTATTTTCAATATTACTTTATTTGAATTCTACATTTCGCATTTACTATACTTATGCTTGCAACACACTTTTTGCACATCTTGCCTCACAATTACAATAACATATGCTGTCTGCTTCTTTACTTGCAACATCTCGTCTCCGTGTTAAACTAGCTGGAGCAATTGTGGAATTCTTAGCTTCAGTATTATTTGTCTGCTTGCCACAATTTGGCGTTTGTGGTTGCCACTCATTAATATCATTTTCTTCGCTGCAACAGTCTCTTTTTGTATGATTGATGAGGCGCAAATAGCTGTTGCATGCAAAGAAAATTGCAGATAATTACGAATATTAAGTAGTGATATTTAAGAGTAATGAAAAGTGTAACTCTTCAACTCAATTAAGTTTAATTGATGAAGGTTTGGGTGACATTTCGTAGAGACGGTAATGGGTGTGAAAAATATACGGTTATGTGAAAACAAAATCGTTTCTAGTTTTGTCTAAAAATTTCCAAAATTAAACCTATGTGTACATAGTCGGTCATTGAGACCCCCTCAAACAACATTTCAACTAGCATAACATCTTCTTGCAAAAATCGCCGAATCGGGCAATATTTCTCCAAACTATGGATGATGATTATTCAAAAATCCCGCGTATGAGTCAAAAAGATGGTATAACTTAATAAATTTAGAGGGAATAAAGGAACCTTAAAGATATCGACCAGTCAAAATTACAGGTTTTTGGGTGCCAATCTAACTTAAAAACAAAAAGTGCTATGGAATGCCTCCTTTCAGCCAGCGCATCTTGAAAGATTTTCGTTGCTTCGTCAGCTGCTGGACACAGAACTTATTATATACATATATATTCACGAAGCAATTAATTTATTTTCTCTAATTATCAAAAAATATTTGCTCAAATCTTACCCTCAAATTAAAAGAGAAATTTCACCCGTAATTTCACCACCTCGTATATGTCCGTCTCTTACCCCAACCAGTCTGCTGTTTGCTTTACAATTTTATTTGCAGTTTAGAGAAAATAGATTTGTAACAATAAAAATTTAGAAGACAGTCATAGGCGCTCGTCACTTCGCATGAAATTCTGTCGAGGGCGGTAAGAAAGACAAGGAAGACAATAACATTGAAATGCAATTATGCCATGTGTGCAGAAAAAATATAACTCCCACGCAATGGAAACGTTTAGATGCACAATTTGATGTTATGATAACCAAAATAGAGAACTGTGTATATATGAATTACAAATCCTATGTGAGGACTTACTAAAGACAAAAACTGCTCGAAGAGGGTAGCAAAGAAGTTGCTACGATGAAAATATTTTAGTGAAAAACTTAGAAAATGATTTATCTACCCTTAAAACACACGGCAAATGTTCCCCTAACTGAAGATAGCAAATAAAGGCAAATTTTATCTCCGCGAATAATGATGATGATGCGTTAGACGCCTTTCCGCTCCCCTTTTATGACGTATACCGTAAAAAGCCAAAAAAAAAAATTTACAAAAGCAATGAGTCATCAACATTCGGTTGAAAGGGGGTTGGAAAATTCAAAATAGAGTGAAGCTGGCAATAAATTTGTATAGTTATTTTAGAGCAGACAGCCCTCTTCATCATCAGCAGCCACGCGCCAGATTAATGTACTCTGGTTTCGAAGTACAGGCGATTTCTTCCTTCGTTTTTGTTCACAACAATCAAGCAGCTGTAGGCCACAGGCACACGCTGATTGAAGTTAATATATGCTCACAATGCGTTTTAGATCTATCTTAGAACCCTAATGAAAATTTTGCTAGTTTTCTAAGGCAGCCGCTTAGTCATTGATGGGAGTGGGCGGCGGTACAAACGGACAAATTGTCTGATGGCACTTACTACAAAATATATATATTTTTGCCTTTAATTTCATTTATTTTATTTCAACTTCTTCCCTCGCTTTCCGGCATCCTGTCTATTTGTTTACATTCTTCTGCTCAGTTGATTGTGGCTGGCGCTTTCGGCTATGCCTTTGTCGCGATCCGCCCCACAATTGATTCGTTTGTCTTATGCTTGTCACGAAAGTGATTTCAACCCGGAAATTTCGCATAAAATCCATTTACAAGTGCAAATCAATAAATATTTTGTTCTACATCTGTGCAAAAATATATATTGCAAGCGCCCGTCATCTTCAGCTGCGACCGTCTTCCTTTACAACTGCCCTTTTGTAATCTTCAAAGGGCTTTCAAGCGGCGGATATTGTCTTACAAAAAGGGTAAATGCGGCGAATCACAAGCAGACGCATTGTTTCTACGGAAATTGAGCGCTGTAAAATAGGAGAGAAAGAAATATTATTTTTCTAGGAAACATAAACAACTTTGAGCAACAAAAGATGTGAATTGTTAGTGGTTTATAACTAAAGTTATAGGTTTCTAACACAAAAAACGGTTAAAACAAATAAAATATATATATATATGTATAAGCCGAAACTATTATGTACTTACAATTTTCCGTTCAACCAAGTCAAGTCCTCACTTACCCAATGCTTCAAAAATCGTCTTCCTTTCTTGACATTATGCTTTAGAAACCCTTGCCTCTTACCACTCCATTTTATTCCTTTCTCTCCTCTGTATGTACTTAAGTGTTCTTTATTTTACGCATTCACCATCATTTTTTTCTTTTCTACCATCTTCCACCTCCTCGTGGCTACCC